TAAAGTTACCATGGTTATCACTCAATCACAGTTTACTAAGCATTATATCGTCATCATTCCCCAGCTGTTGTATCTGAAATCTGTTGCAACATAGCGCACAGCAGACAGAAGTGTAAAACGGAGCAGACAATTGTTGACGCAACGCAAGCGTTGTTTCCATTTCATTTTCATCAAAGGAACTGTAATGTTTCTAAAGGGAGGGAGAGGGGATCGTTATATCAAGAGAAAGACGCTGACAATTTCTTAAACAGAGGTTACGAACGCTATATGGATATTCTGTTCTAGCAATAAAAAATTCCTTAAATTGAGGTGACTTATAAAACTCTAATTTTATTTATATAGAAAGATAAGTTTTCCAGTCCTGTACAACACTGATTCACGGTCTTTTCCCCTTTTCCCAGTAATCAAAATTCAAGTACAACTTGATACGCACAGAATCTCCAGTTCCTGACCTGGATGATGGCTAGTTATTTAATTTAATTTACAGTTACATATTAGTACCCGTGACAATTGTTGACGCAACGCAAGCGTTGTTTCCATTTCATTTTCATCAAAGGAACTGTAATGTTTCTAAAGGGAGGGAGAGGGGATCGTTATATCAAGAGAAAGACGCTGACAATTTCTTAAACAGAGGTTACGAACGCTATATGGATATTCTGTTCTAGCAATAAAAAATTCCTTAAATTGAGGTGACTTATAAAACTCTAATTTTATTTATATAGAAAGATAAGTTTTCCAGTCCTGTACAACACTGATTCACGGTCCCCTTTTCCCCTTTTCCCAGTAATCAAAATTCAAGTACAACTTGATACGCACAGAATCTCCGGTTCCTGACATGGATGATGGCTAGTTATTTAATTTAATTTACAGTTACATATTAGTACCCGTGATAATCAAACCCGTTATGTAAGCCAAAGCCACACGGTTATTAATCTCACTTGGTTTTGGATTTGCTTACAAACGAGATCGGAAATGGTTAGGGCCTACACAGTATTCGTAAACAACATTTATATAAACACTAGCAGAGTACCCGTCCTTCATACGGAGTTGACATTTAAGTGTAAAATACTTACAGTATTGCAGTTAGTTATACTCTTAACTTAGCGTTTGCAATTGGGGAGGACACAGTTTGATAAAAATTGCTTCTTTAAATTTACGGTATACTATAGTATAGTATTACACAATACACATCTACCATAGCCATAATGTTCTACCACTTCACCTGATCAATAAAGAAAAATAAATTATTAACAATACTTTCTCCATATTCTATGGTATAGGAGGAGAAAGTAAAAATTCGCAAAATATCACAAATTATTCATGCAATTAAAAACATAAACATAACTGTAAACAATCCTACTTTGACAGTTTGTTCTCATTGCTAATCACAGTTTTTTGTTGCTGCTTAGTTCAAATTAGCTGTTTTCATAAATGTAAAAAAATAATAGGTCTGCACCCTGTTAGTAAATCTTATAACTTTTTAATACTTTATAATACTTATATATACTTAAATAGATATATACTTTAATAGAACCAACTTTTTTAGTAGAAACAACAGACTGAATTCTTTAATTCCCTTTAAATATGGTTCACATAACTAGTCATAACTCATAAGGTTAACATGGGGAATACAGAGCCACTGGGGCGGAGCCCAAAAGGATTTTTGAGATAAGAACATATAGTTAATTGAGCTATCATCATGCCAAATTTCAGCCCAATCCGTCCATTAGTTAATGCGTGATTGAACTTTAAACAAACACACAAACTTTCACATTTATAATATTAGTAAGATTTGGTAAGATATATCAGTGGACAGCAAGAAAAAGGAATCTTTATCAAAACAGCTGTTCGTAATTTCATATAAGACGTCTTCTCTTAACAGATGAGTAGTATTTCATAAATGACGTATGTAGTAAACATGGGGAAAATAAACTAGAAATTCACACAAAATTGGGTTTTTTATCGTCCGTTATTTTATTTCCAAAATAGTGAGGCCATATTTTAATGGCTATAAGGACACTCTCGCCAATCCTGTAGATACAATTAAACCATTAGAATCATAATCAGTACTCTAGTTTTCTTTAGAGTAGGCTGCGTAAAATGCCTTCTGGGTCGTGACAGACGGACATAAATTGAGATAAGACATGTTTCAACTTCTTCTTAAAACGTAAAAATAACCCAAAATATGTATAATTCTGAGCAATGTACAGACAAAACCATAACTTTATTTATATAGATTTACTGGGTTTGAATTTTAAATATCTAAAAAAAATTATAAAACTTCTTTTATAGTTTTACAAATAGTGCTGGGCGGGGGAATAATGTTTCTCATTTGTTGTGTACATCATTTATGGTGGGGGGGGGGGGCTGTTGCTCAATTGGGGGGGGGGGGGTGCGTCATGAGTCTAGGGGGGGATGGGCACCCCTGTGTTAACTAAAAATTTCTACTTGAGCCGTAAATACTTTCTTTACACGATCGTTCTTAAAAGTCTGTGCTATTGCTTGTTTCTATATGCCACGGTCTTAAAACAAAAAATCATTCTTTGTCAATCTTGCATCATTTTTTAAACAATATAATTATGAATCTTGTTCGGTGCTTTCATAAAGTATTTATTCTGACCTAGCTGTTTAGGTGTTTTTGTATTCCAACTTATCCTTGTATGATCGTGTTTTTAAGTCTAGTGCTATAATTAATCATTTTAATATTGAACAAATTTAAATCACACCAATCACACAAACATGTTAAAATCGGAGCCTCGAGGTGAAAATCAAACTATATGTTACCATTTAAACCAATATATTTTATACATATACAGTATGTTACAATATTATGTACAATTGGGTTAACAAAAATAAATATTTAACTAGACTTATCCAGTATTTTGAAAAAAATATATTGTCGAATATAGGTACAAATAACGTATTAGTTTATTTGATTTGAACAAATATTAGTTTTCACTTATAAAAATAAAACTATAGTAGCTTACATTGTATTTTATAATAAAATATAAAATTATAATATCTCATATTTGTCCCTCAAAGGTTTTATGAGGGAACATCGACTAGAATAACATAACGTTTTTCACCAGACCATATTTAATTAAAACTGCAATTCGTCCTTAAGGTGCAATGCAAAGAGAAGGCTTGAAATATTGGAAGTGCAGTTAATATTTAATTCTTAAACAAGTCTTTGTAAGAATCAAATACCTATTAGTGATAGAAATTTGCAAAATGTAGCTAACTTCCTATTAACCGATTCTGTAAAAACATATTCATTATTTCAGTTTAAATGTTACTTACTCCTAAGAAAATTAAAAAATAAGAGAATAATTTCTACCCCCACCCAAAAATGTATTTCAGAACAAAAACTATTCCATACAATTGTACAAAACTTATTTTGTAATTTAATAAACCGTTTATGGATCTAAAGCAATGATGGTAACATGTCAACATATCCCTATACATTATACAAGAGGAATTAAAATAAATTGTTTGCCAAAATTAAGTTTATGTCAAGTTTTTGGAGTACGCCCATCATTCTTATTTCCAAAATATTAAGCCAATAGATAACGGAATTCAGACATAATCAAGTAAAAAAAACCTATTTGATTAGACTTTGAACTCAATACAGCATTTCAATACTATTCCTTGGTACGGCCAGTAAATAAAAGAAACGTCTTATAACACTTAAAACATATATTTACGCTTATACTGTTACTCGCAAGACGTTAATTATAAAAAAAGATGGTAAGTGGTGATCGATTTCAATTGGACACTCCAAATATCATCAGACCCAATAGGCGAACATTCGCCTATTGGGTCTGATGATGATTGGCGTGTCGAATCGAAGTCGATAACCACTTACCATCTTTTTTTATATTTACTGTCTTGCGAGTAACAGTATAAGCGTAAATATATGTTTTAAGTGTTATAAGACGTTTCTTCTATTTACTTTCCGTAAATTTAATAACACGTACAATTCTGATCAAGAAGCTATTTATTACTTGGTGAAAATAGTTGCATTCGTGTGACTTGAACATCGACGGTAGGGCAACTAGTTTCAACTCATATCGGGGCCATCGTCAGGTCAGTACTATGCCTTCTGCTCCATTGAAGGCCATCAACTTACACCGTTAATAGGACACACACATGGACATAAAAAATACGAACATTTAAGTGACAATAAACGAGAAATAATACTGGATAAGCGAAATACAACGGACAGAATAATTATTTCTCATTTATACTTTGGCGTTTATACTTCAATGATCGTACGGTTTATGTCCGTTTGCGGGGTGATACTTATTGTTAGTGTTCATGAACTTACAATGAAGGGAGAAGACGTCTAGTGATGGTCTGATGATGACTCCGATTTGAGTTTAAACTACTGCAACGTCCAAGATCTCACGAATGCATATTTTCAATAATTTATGGTAAAAAATTTCCTTAGATAAGAAATATGTCAGATTTATTTATTTTTTGGGCTAGATTTGGACGATTTCTTGATGGCTACGTTCTTATTTTATTTCATAGATTGTACAGTCATAGGGGCATCTGATCCTAGTGAAAAACAATTATTTAACAAAAAGTAGGATGCCAAGTTGTACAAAAATATAGAAATGGTTTATGCTAATGTAACAATCGAATGGCGTCTCCCCATAATTGTCAGTAAAATTAGTTATAGAATGGAACCGGACGAAGTTGAATGAGCCATCGACAGACTATACTGCTATTAAAAAGTTTCGCTTGTATACACTGACTGTTTAACAGAGCCAAACTCGAAGGACATCTAACTACAAAATGATAGGTCCTTTATAAAACATACATTCTATGAGTTTAAATAATAAAGAGAGAATTTTAAGTTTAAAGGACTTTCTGTGAGTGGCTCATACGTGTTCTATTTTAATGAATAATTAGTGACATCTGGTCTGTATAAATCGGACGTCTGCGGTAGTACCCAAAGTCAAGGACTGCATGCTTCAACTGTACACTTAGCGAGTTCAAGGGTTTGGCAGGATGTGGAAGCCGTTGTGATCAGCCAGGTAGTTGACAGTGATCCTCTCGCCCTCAGGGCTCACGTAGGAGTACGAGCCTTTCTTGACGATCACATACTCCCATCCCTCATTGGTCGACAACAGACTTCCCTGCTCACTCACCTGCGTACCGTTCTTGTCGGAGAACCTGCAACACAAGTTACCAGTTATGTATGTCAAGCTGCTCAATTGTAGCAGCAAATATTGACACTGTAAATAGTACATTTCATTAAGTCCTCTAAGACAGCAACATGCACCTATGTATGATGATAACGATTATGAATGTGGGTTAAACGTAGAATGAAGTGATGACCTGTGCTGCTTTGTGTTTTGATTTTGTCTAATATAAGTTGTTTCCTAGCCACACACATTTATCAAAATCAAATAAGGACAGCCGGGTCTGGTTTAGACCCATCGACAAGATACTCAGCAGCTAAGCGCATTGCAGGTGGAAGATGTGGCTTAACGCAGAGTAGGATCTGTAGCTGCAATGTTACATGTAGACAGGTTGCTCACAGCAGTTGCTAAGATTACGGTTATCCTCACTATACGATATGCTAGGGTTGCATGTCTATAAAAAGCTTAATGCAGTTGCTAGGGTTGCATGTCTATAAAAATCTTAATGCAGTTGCTAGAATGCACGTATATAAAAAGCTTAATGCAGTTGCTAGAATGCACTTATATAAAAAGCTTAATGCAGATACTAGGTTACATGTGTATAAATAGCTCACTGCGAGTGTTAGGCCTCTCGCCCACTATACGATTTCGGTCGTACGACATTGTGTCGTACGATATTCTTATCGTATGTGTGGTCCTCGCCCACTTTACGACACTTTATCGGATAAATGACCTGACAGGCCTGGAAGAGTGTAGGGTTGCATGTACTATAAAAAGCTTATTGGAGATGCTAGGGTTTTATGTCTGTCAATTATATGACATTTGCAGGAGTTGGACGGCTCCAAATTAAACACTATACTAGTTGCAAGGGCACTATAACATTTACGTCAATGGAAAGTTCTTTAGGGGTTTATCAAATAGATAAGCAATTTACTACAATACTTATGACGAAATTAACTTTGATAAACAACTAGTTATTTTTAGCTTTCTTTTTGAATGAAAAGTTAGTTGTTAATTAATAATTAGAGGGTTTATAATTAATAATAGAGGGTTTGGTTGATAATTAAAGGGATTTTTGTTCTGAACACGTTAGCTCCCCTAAGCTGGTTGACCAAACCGCTAGTTCACTGTTCAAGACCTCTATTTTAACTGGCCAGACTGGTTTGCCCAATTGGTATAACACTTTAGTACCTGTATTTCGCTGTTTCAAAGAATTTTTTCACAGAAACAAAATTATAAGTAGGCTACGACAAAACATACCCCAACTTCTACGGTATACTAAGAATTTATTACAAAATTAAAAATATAACATGCTTGATTTGCCTAATTGCGGTATACCCGGGTATAAATAATTAACGCTACTCCGGGCATACAACTTTACAGTAGAAGCTTTGACAACAGCGCCTAACAAAACAAAATTTCGCCCTCTGATAAATCGACAGTAGACAACAGTTGCATACTTAAGATTCTTAAAGGAACGGAAAGAACGGTGATTAACTTGCAAATAGCTTCGACCTTGAAATAGCATCTTGTCGCGGGACGGAGAGTGGCCGATGGAGAAAGGAACGTGGTAAACAATAAGCAAGGTGACGAAAGATCATGATTGACTTTCGATCACACCTTGGGCTTGTTGTTTTTATATGAACATGACATCTTCTGTCTGCAGTCACTCGAACTTAATCAGAGTAATGTATAGAAGAGGGTTTCACATGTTTCAACCTCGATTGGCTAACTTGCCAACTTTTTCTTGGTTTTTACATTTGAAAAGACATATCCAATCAAACTCGAAAGAAAGTTACCGTACTGTATAAAAAATCGCATTTAGTACAAATGCTAATAAGGGCTGTCATCGTCAGGTAGTTCCTGAATTTAATCTGTCTATATGTCACCGACTGAAACTGTATTTCTAAGACTAGCAAGATGCCTGTTATAATATAATATTTTGTATATAATAGGCAAAACGTACACAGAAAAAACATAATTACTAAAATATTACTATAATATCCAAACCCTTCGCCCCCTTTACAAAGCTTTTAAACACTTCGATGCCGCGAGGATTTTTATAAAAAATAATTAAATACAGGGTAGATATAAAATAAATCCTCCTACCCTACGTAGTTTCCAAAGAGAATGAGCAAACACTAAATTTCAGCTTAACTATATAAATACCATACATTGATTTCTTTACAAACGGAAACGGAATGGATTCATTCAGAAGAAGAAAGTCAATTCTAATTTTAGAGTGAAATCACATTTTCCTCCTATATTTAATTAGGCCTATTGCTCATTGATCTACGTTCACGTTCACGTTATTCTTCGGAGCTCGTAATTGACATAGATTATAATAGCAAAATAAATACTTCTATTTTCTTCGGTATATGGTAAACAACATTGGTCAGTAAATTGTTTATTCGTACCCTTCAGTTAAACGAGCTTTATCGTTTCATACCTGCAGGGATAGCTGCCTCAGTAAGAACATTAGGATAAGGTGTGACGATAACTGGTTTTGGACTTGTTTTCGACCCAAGTGTTGTCCAAATTTTCCTTTGAATGTTGACAGTCATTATAATAAACATTCCAGCAAATGTAAAAACACACGTAACCCGACATAGATTGAACATCGACATTAGTCATCGACGTCATGCCTCAGATGTCAATTATTTTATTAACGCGTCCAAACTTGAAAAATACATCTTTCCAATAACAATTTAGCATGTGATGCATTACATATAATTTCCTTGACTTAACTAATAAATTATTTTGTAAATTGTAATTTAGGTAGTTTTTTAAACGTTTAGTTTAGAAAAATGCTACTTGACGAAGTGTAAGCTTTTAATAATGTCAATATATTAACACCTGCCTTCCTTGATATCAAGCCACGTTACTACCAGTCACTGAGCATTCTAACCACAGTCCTTAAACAGTCTGTGATTAAAACATAGTGTAATAAATAAATCAATACACGCCTGATACCTAAATGGTAAAATACAACTTAAGTTGCTTGTAAATACGATATACAGGGTGATCAACTCAAGGAGGCCACCATTGGGATATCGGAAACGGTAAGAATTAGAGAAAACTTTAAATGGGGGACATTCCTTTATTTTTTGTGGCAGTTAAAAATATGATTTTATTTTTTCGAAATTCAGCCGCCATTTTCCAAAATGGCGGCCAACTTTGAAATTTCTTACGGAACACCCTATATTTTATGATGTTTTCGGATAGAACAGACAATTTAAAAACTTTTTTATTCTTGAAATTTTTCGATAAACCCACTCGTTTAGGAGTTACAGCCTATGGAAAAATGACTTCCGGTGTACATTTTACATCATGTAGCTCCTAAACAAGTGGGTTTATAGCGAAAATGCAAAAAGTAAATAAGTCAAATAAGTCTTAAAATTGCATCCACATTCCAAAAAGACCATAAAATTTGTTAAAACTATTAATTCTATCATTTCAAAAATGGCGGCCATTTTCCAAAATGGCGGCAAACTTGAAAAGTGGAAAACTGTGTATTTTATGGTCTTTATGGAATGTGGATGCAATTTTAAGACTTATTTGACTTATTTACTTTTTGCATTTTCGCTATAAACCCACTTGTTTAGGAGCTACATGATGTAAAATGTACACCGGAAGTCATTTTTACATAGGCTGTAACTCCTAAACGAGTGGGTTTATCGAAAAATTTCAAGAATAAAAAAGTTTTTAAATTGCCTGTTCTATCCGAAAACATCATAAAATATAGGGTGTTCCGTAAGAAATTTCAAATTTGGCCGCCATTTCACAAAAAATAAAGGAATGTCCCCCATTTAAAGTTTTCTCTAATTCTTACCGTTTCCGATATCCCAATGGTGGCCTCCTTGAGTTGATCACCCTGTATATAGGTATATGTGATATAGCTTATGATCTTTTGATTACTTACGCATGAGTGTATTGCCCTCGGTCGTCAGTGACAGAAAGACGAGTGTTCTCTGGAAGAGTCAAGGTGGGCTGTGCGGGAGGTGCGGACTGTTCAGGACTAAGAGAACCTCCCTCCTTTAGTGGGACCGGACTGTACTGAGAAGCAGGAGATAATCCAGGAGCAGTGGGAGCAGGGAAGAATGCGGGGCCAGTGGGGCCGTTTGAGGGAGGTGCGAAACCTGGGGCTCCAGGTGCGCCAGGGGTGCCAGGGGCACCAGGGGTGCCAGGGAAACCAGGCGTACCAGGGAAACCAGGGGCACCAGGAGCGCCGGGGAAGCCAGGGGCACCAGGAGTGCCAGGAAAGCCAGGGGCACCAGGAGCGCCAGGGAAGCCAGGCGCACCAGGAGCGCCAGGGGCACCTGGGGCTTTAGGAAACGGGGCGGGAGCGAATCCCGGTGCGGTAGGTGCTGGGGCGAATCCTGGAGCGGTGGGAGCAGGAGCAAAGCCTGGAGAAGAAGGAGCAGGTGCAAAACTAGGGCCAGGGGCAAATCCTGGGGCGGTGGGAGCAGGGGCGAATCCTGGAGCGGTGGGGGCAGGGGCAAATCCTGGAGAAGAAGGAGCAGGTGCAAAACTAGGGGCAGGGGCGAATCCTGGGGCGGTGGGGGCAGGGGCGAATCCTGGAGCGTTTGGAGCAGGAGCGAATCCTGGAGCGTTCGGAGCAGGAGCGAATCCTGGAGCAGAGGGAGCAGGGGCGAATCCAGGAGCAGGAGCGAAACCGGGTCCGGACGGAGCTGTAGCAGGTGCTACAGGACTTCTAGACGGAGCAGGGGCAAATCCAGGAAACGCGGGGGCAGGAGCAAATCCTGGAGAACCAGGGGCAGGGCCGAAACCAGGTCCAGAAGGACTTCTAGACGGAGCGGGAGCGAATCCTACTCCAGGTATCCCGTACTCCGAGGCCGGATACTGAGCAGCCGCTGCTGCACATAATGCCACTACCACCTGTAAGCACAAAAAATGTGTAGGCTACTGAGCGTGGTTTTAAAGCAATTCTCACTACGTACCGTCTGTATGTTTAAAATGCAGAACTGTATATTTGACAAACACCTTTAACTCATAATTTGTCTAATTATTTTTCTTAATAAAATTCGGATATATTCATATCATTGATTAAAACTGATATTTCAAAGAGAAAAGCTTTACAAATACTTAAACTATCAATTACTAGTAGCTTAATCCGTTCTTTGCAACGATTTCAAGTTGAGAACGCAGAAGAGAATACTGACGCTCTTTTAAATCTACTGTACTGCTATCTACTACTACTGTACTACTGTATACTATCTGTATAAAACAGGTGACATGTAAAGCCTGTTACCGTGTTGGTTTTAAAAACAAATCTCAATTTACTTCGTCGTTAAAAAATAGCCCGCTGCAGCAAACCTGAAGACTAAGCAAATTTCCATTTACCTGGTTGGGTTTTCACTAAGATATTCTCTTAAAATATTGTCAAATTTTCATTTATTTTAATAAGCACCTACTTAGGTTTGCTGCTAAAGGGAAGGTAGCTATGAAGTGAGGTTTTATTGAAATGTAAAAAATCTGAATGACATAGAAAAATTTGATTAAAATATTATCAAGCACTCCATGAAAATAACATAGGAACTTTGAATGGACAGTTTTTTTTAGATTTATCCATAACAATTAGGCATACAACAATGTTTTACTGTATAAAATATTTGTTTTTAAGCTCTACGTAATAGCTTTGACTATTGATATAACTAGACACTCCATCCCCATGTTATTAAAGTTGTCGCCAGTTTTGTAGTAAAATTGTTACAGTTTATGTGAGCCTCCGTCAGTTTGTGCTGATGTGAATTACGGATTGCTGTCCCAACATATGAATTTCTTAATCAAGTCAAACTGATGGAATGACTTATTGTGAGCAGTATAAACTATTATGACCCATAAACTATGTCAGCAACAAAAATAACGGTAGAAAAAAGAAATTTTATACACTAGCGCATTCTGTGACTGGCTCACACAGCTAAGTTCTTTCTTAGTAAAAACATAGATAAAACATACTTTAGTCTATGGTAAAAAATAGGCGACAGCCGGTCCATATGGATGGGTTGTCTACTTCGAGTATCCAATAGTCAATGTTAATAGTTAACAAAGAAATTGCCAAATTCTATGTTTTTTGGGACTAAAAATGGTAAACCCCAATTTCACCCCTTAAATAAAACCATGTATTCATATACCGATCATGCTGGTTTACGATAAATGTGCATTTACTCGTTTTTACCGAATTTAATCAAAATTGGATTATATATAAACGTGTCCATAAACACGACAACTCAATCAGTTTTAGTACAATTTAGATTAAATGTGTGGGGCTGTATAAACTTTAATGAGTTCGCCAACCATCAATATCGGGTCATAAACCGTTATGGGGTTTTGTAATTTTTTTTAAATTGTTTTTTTTCCAAAACGTTAAAATTTACAATTTTATTACAGCCATCGTGTGGAACAAACCCGTAATTGTAGAACATGTTTGTCAACGTTAGAGTTTTTAAGAGATAGATTATTAATTTAGTTAATTTAAAACTACTTTGGATATGTACGGAGCTTCTAAATCTGCAGATAGGCTCACAACTACTCCTTCGTATTTGTTCCCAGGGAAACTGTTCAGAACATTACTATACTTTTGTTTTAGTTTCAAAAGTATATGTTCTTCGCAAATAGTTAATTGGATGATTTCTTGGTATTCCAGTAAGAGATCCCATAAGCTTTACTTGCATGGTGTACCCGTAAAAGAGTTGCACTACACATTTGGAGCACAAATAACATATTTCGTATCCAACAGTATTTGCATGATTTTGCTTAAAACATTAGCAGCAAAGCTATCATATTTATGTTGGTAAGCTTGTTAATAATCAGTGTTAATAACTAACTAACACAATAGTCAAAGCTATGACCTCAGACTTGAAACTATGACTGATCAGACTTGATGACAAGGTCATCTACATTTTTGAAACAGCTGAAGCCAATTTTATTTTGAAATAGATTGTAGTCGAAAAAGAGATTTACAGACTGTCTCCTCTCCGTTTTATACAACGATGGTTTATATGACGTAACAGATGTGATGGTTTACCTCAGGCTATCAATATTTCTTATAGCTAGAAAGCGCAGCGTGGTGCAGCTCAAAACTTTTTAACTTTGCTTAAAGATAAAGGTTTCAAAATAACTTTTGATATGGACAGTTTAGTTCACAACTCTTTGCTAGCAAATGCTAAAGCCTTTGATGTCGTTAGATGGCGTTGTTCAGTATCCAGTTTTCTTGGAAATGTTACATTTCTTGATAAAAAAATAGCCTTACAGTTTTTTTTTTTTTTTTTTTTTTAAGTTGAGTTGCCTGTTTAGAGTCTGGTAAAAATGGAAATGTTTAGTTGCAAGAGTTTACTGTAATGTCTTTTAGACAAGATCATGAATCCGATTTACATCGTGATCTTGCTCCACGTGATTTTGAGGGTTATTGAATTACAAGTATAACTCAATATTTTATTTTAAATAAACGTCAAAGTAATAGATTACATTTTTACAGTTTTTTTACGACTGAAAAATTAATTCTTCCAAGCTATATTTTAAATTTAAAGTGTTTGAACCACATAACCATAACACATCTTAGTAGTTATGATAAGCTAGTTAATACAAAAATATATTGTGTAGTCATGTTTATTTGACTTAAAATTTAAATTAAATTGTTTAAAAGTTTAAAAAGTAAATTTATACTTGGTGATATTAGTAAGAAAATAGTTTACGTAATCTAACCCAATAGTAGCATAATGTAAAAACGTATTGACAATTTAATGAACATGTTAACGTATTTATGCAATAACCCAAAAGAAGCTTGTTAACAAAATGCCAATAATTAAACCACCTAGTTATTTTTGAAACTAACCAAAATCATTATAGCTTATAGCTGTAGTAGCTGTAAGTGCCAGAGTTTATAAAATTGTAACAGAAATGATTTGTTTGCTTTTATGATAGTGGATTTTGATGTTGTTATGTCAATAATATCAAGTATGTAAATTAGTTAAGATTATTAGAAAGAATGTCAAAAGAAGCGAACTCAATGAACATTTAAAGTAAACTTAACTCAACGATATTGCAGTATCATAAATGTAGGCCTATATACCATTTATACTATAAGTAATCAACTTGACTCGAGAAAATTTATAAATAATTTATAAAATTCTACCCATCTACTGATTAGGTCATTTGAAAATGTTACAAAAATAAAAATGAAGCTACCTAGTTACAAAAGTCAACCAAAATAACAATGGTAGCATCACAAGAGTTTATTTACATTAAACATTCTATATAGTAATAGGCAAGACTGTTTCTTGAAAACATTTTTTCTCAGCTCGTGTGCATCGCAGGGAAAATCTACGCATACGGTTTTGAAAGATATTTGCCTGTAGATTTGCAGAAACCCTTTATAAATTAAAATAGGCTCAAAAATAAGCACAAAAAGAATTTAAAATTTAACAATGATTAACATGGGCCTTATGGGTTACCGTGCTGGGGACAAAATACGAAACATAAATAGGAAATCAAAACAAATGGAAGATTTTCCAATCAAGTGTTTTATTTACAGCGTGGGGTGAAGTTTGCACAATACATATTTTGGTCGAATTTTCAGCCATGGGGTGACCTCTAGTAAATATTGATAAGCAGAGTTTTATTTTAAAATTTTATTTTTACGCTAGTGAACTTTTGTTACTAAGAATAAGAATATATATGGAGAGTGTTAATACTTTAAGTTTTATAATATTTACTCACTCTTGATATTAAAAAAAAAAACACATTTTACAGTATCCAAAACTTGTATTTTTACTCCAAGTGACCAACATAACACGCAATTAGTCTGAAAACCATTTAAAAATTCGATCCATTCATTTAGGTAATTTGTACGTTTCTAAATTATAATAAAATACCTTATTAATTTCTAACACTTAACTAAATTCACCACGGTAGTTTTAACTGATGTAATCTATTAAATTTAAAAACTCAAAAATGAAATCATATTTTTTATAGCTAATCAGTCATACTCACAGTTAGAGTGGCTGAGGAGAACATGATGAAGGAGGAGGTCCAAATGGTGGTTGTTTGCTAGGGGTTGTTTATATATGGTGGACTGGTGACGTCACGAGGTATGGAAGGTCGTGACTTGAGACGGATCTACCGGCCGCGGTATATGATAAAGATGTTTTACTTATAAAAAAACAACTGGAATACTAAGATTTATATTTTTGTATTCCTGATGTCCATTTTACGACTTGTAACAGAGCCTAGTTTTAATTTATTAATTGAAAGCTAGAAATTATTGCATCATCTAGTATATAGTTTATAAAAGTGTATGTTTGCTAAGGTGTTTCGTATAAAAGAAAGATGTATTAAATGTAATGTGTACATTTATCTTTTGTAATGGCTTTTAGTTAGCTGTTGGTGAATTATTTTGTATGCACAACCTTTAGCCTTGTGATTTTTAACTCATAATTTATTGTAAAACGACGAATTATTACACTAAAGAGAATGGTTTCTATAAAAAGCAATATCACAAAGATTTTTGCTTCGAAATAATATTTGTATAATGTGTTATCTAACGATATTTCCAATCAACAATAAATAATTTGCTACTAAGGAATAGGTTTATACATTTAACCTATAATTTTATAAAAGGGAATAGGGGGAAAAGGTTTGTTTAATTTTTAAATGGATTAAATCGGTTTTGTACTGTTATTTAAGAAAAATCTTATTTTGCTATTGCAAAAATATTTAGTCTAGATCTACGAATAATCCTTATGCTTGTATAATTTAAGTTGCAACTTAAGGCTAAATTTTATCAAATATTTTATGAATATTTTTAAAGCTGATGTGTATACATTTTCCTCTTTAAATAAGGGAAACAAAAAGAAGGTCAAACGATGAATTTCGTTAGT